TGCCACGGGAGCAAATTCAGCAGCTTTTACATCTTGTTGGTCCAACTTTGTCAAGACAAACTCAACGGAGCTACCCCCTAAGCCCCGAAATTCAGCTGCTGGCGGCTTTCCGTTTTTATGCTATGGGGAGTTTTCTGGAGGTGGTTGGGGATGGCTATGGGCTGAGTAAGACCTCGGTGTGGCGGTGCGTTCACACAGTCACAAACGTCCTGCTCCGTCACGCCACCAATTACATAGCCTACGAATGCCTTTCACCAGGCACGAAGTGATGGAGGCACATCAAGGCTTCCATGCCATTGTGTGTGTCCTGTGAGTAATTGGCCTTGTGGACAGGACAGTTCCCCATCGCCAACCCATCAGCGCTCGACCAGGCCTTCATAATATATATGAACATGAGAATATAAATGACCCTTTCAAAATCAAGCGAAGCCAAACAGCCAGTTAATGTAGCTGGTTAAGGCAGAATACTCTGTGAGGTTGCAAGTTCGCACTTGCAAAATTATACATACACACACACACACACACAGTATATATATATATATATATATATATATATGATATCCAAGGTTGCATTTAGTTTGAAATTTTGATTATTTTTTAAATGCAGTGAGCCCCGATTAATGCAATTTCTAATATTTCTAAAGTGCTTCTTTATAATGAACATCACTTTCTCAATACTTTACCCGCTCTATAACGCAGTGAAAGAACTCCTGTAGTGAACAATCGATTCTAGAGCCATCGATATCAACCTAATCAGCACCACTGCCATGGACAGCACCTGCTAACGTCGCACGTAAGAAGGTTTACCTTAAGCAACATCCTAAGGTATAGTTCGGGGAACACACCTAGGAAAGGTATACCCCTAGTTAAGGTGTGTCTTCGTAGCGCGCTAAGAGACACCGTTATCGGGAAACGCAGCCCTGATCTTTAACCACATGGATCATTAAACATCCATATTCAAATAAATATGCGGCCAATGAGCCTTTAGCATCCCCTTCCAGAGCAAGCACATTTCAAAATCACTGGCTTTAAATTGGCCACTTGGAGAATTACATATGTCAGGAAAGAGCAATTATTTTTTAAGGACTCTTGTTTTTGATAGATATAAAACAGCAAACGTATGATCAGAACTTTCTAAGTTTGTAGGATACATTTTGCGATCAATTCAGTGCATTAAACTTTATTTTACACTCAATATAATATCCTCAAACATAAAAATAAAAAAAACACTTCAGCATTTTCATGATCTGCCTCAACTTAAATAAGATCAATATGCATTACAAATGAAAAAGTGTTGACTTCAGACCGACCTTTAAATAAATGAAAAATGTCAGCTGTTGGTGAATATTGTAAGCAAGTACTCAGAAAACTAAATTCACCAAAGCACAGAGATCAAATTAAGTCAAAATCCTGATGAGGCCGTCACATCTAAAATGTTCAGAAAGTCAAGTGAGCATCACATGTATGATTCAGCACAGCCGCTCTCATCCAACGTATCTACTGTAGGGCTTTTTAGAGGGAATTTTGTTTTATTTGACACAGCAGCTGTTCTGCAGTCAAACACTGATTTGTGAACATGACAGTCCTCCTGGAACTACATATGGAAACTTTCACAACTTCAGACTGGAGGCCTTTATAAATGCCTGAGAGAGAATTGGCAGCATCTGTCTGCATTTCTCTAAAACTTTTATATGCAATGTTCTGTCTCTTCACAATCAGTTTTTAAATGCACTTCTCTCTCTTCTGATCAATCCAAAATTAGAGGTCTGAGAAATTGCAGTGCAGTCGATCGAACTGTATTGAGTTGGATGGCTGACAGGAACAATAACAAGTTCCACCTGATTGCATGAAACGCAGAATAGACATTGTCTGCGATGCTTCATTTGCTCAAAATGAACGGCTTGTTTTCTCTTGGCTTGAGTAATGAAGTAAGACACTTTGTAAATCCTCTGTAACTATTTAGAAAAGCGCCTAGTTTTCCTCTGTTGTTCATAATCATACTGGTTTATCAAAGATATCATTCTGTGATTTAAAGATGAGTGCGCTTAATGTCTTATTCATGCTCCTCAACTAAGCAGTCACTAATATCATCATACTGAATAATTTAACTGTGCTATTTCTTCACTTTTTTAATTCTCAGTTGTATTCTATTTCTTGCATTACTGGCACACATTCAAGCACTGTTCGTCTATCTATAGCAATTTTACAATTGCAGTGGCCTGTTTGCAGTTGTAAGGCTTCTCAGTCCATACTTGCTGTTTAGGAGAATGAATATTTATCTCATATCCATGTAGTTATGCAGAAAGTACAGAAAATAATATCTTGTCATACTGAGCCTGTAGGAACAGGCTGAGACTTTTTTTTAATTTCTGGATACACTTATGAAATTTCAATGTTAAGTGTAGAGGAGATGGAAATGACACTCTGTTGCCCTTGAGAGACAAAGATGTGCGAGAGAGACGCTTCTCCTAATCTGCGTATGATAAAAGCGTTAGATGAAAAAGTACTGACCTGAATCTCAATGCCATAACCCAGATATACAGTAACCAGGCAGGTGCAATGAAAGTGGGAATCAAATGAGACATCTGGGGGGAGCTCAATATAACCCTCGGCGTCTGTGAAGTTCATATCGCAGTGAGCTGGAAAAAGAAAGACAGAGAGAGAGAAAAGGGCACCATTCTGAAGTCACCCCTTTTACAGCTGTCTTATGTTTGGTTGGCTGTGCAATAATCCTCCATTAGCTCTGAGGCCTGTGCATTGTCATAGAGATCAACATCCATATACACCTTTATCTTTCATCCATATCTAGCCATAGCCATCTGTAGCTGTCCATATCCGTCTATATCCATATTTATCTACCTGTCCAAATCCATCTATATTCTCTGTATCTAGCCATGTATATCCATCCATTTCTATTCATATCCACTTGTCCATATTCATATACACCTATGTTCATATCTATAATTATACATATCTATTCATATCTATCTATCTATCTATCTATCTATCTATCTATCTATCTATCTACCTACTTACCTACAGGGCTCGCAAAATCGCTAGACCGACGTCCCGGGCTATTATGTTTTCCAGTTGGGCTACCAAAATGTATCACCACTCTGCCCGACGGCTATCATAAATACAGATCTCCCGCGGGTCCTTAAAAACTCCTAAAGTGAGTTGTATCAAACTTAAGGCCATAAAAAGTTTTAAATATGTTAAATGGTATAAGAAATGTCTTAATTATAATTTCAAGAGGTCTTACAGTTGGGGATGGAAAGACAAGAGTGAATGCGAAAAAGTTAATGTGCCTTCTAAAAATCTAAACAATTAAGACAGTAATATTTATACGTTTTAAATTGACATAATACTTTATATGCTTGATTTATCCCTTTTCATAAAAATGGTCTAAAGGCTGAAATGCTGTTGTATAAGATTTTTGTTTTTGTGAAAACCTGTATCTGAACTGTAAATCATGTAATTTTATGGCTCAGTACTGTATGTTACCACATACATTGTCCAACCCCAGTCATACTGTTCATTTTACTTGTGCAGCTCTTAAAATGGGTAATACATTTCCTTAAATTTATTTTAAAAAATTCTGCAGATACCCTGTAAATAGTGAAATAAAATTCCTTCCTTCATATTTGTTGATATTTGTGTATTGAAAATCACCATCCATCCATCCATCCGTATTTATTCATATCCATATATTTCTGTCTATATGCATCTATATCCTCCAGATCTAGCCATCCATATCTTGCCATATTTATGTATATCTACCATCCATATCTATCTATGTACCCATATCCATCTATATCCATCCATGTCCTCATATAGCCATGTGTATCTATTCATATATAGCATCCATATCTATCCATATTTATCTTTCCATCCATATTCATCTTTAGCCATCCATATCTATTATCAATATCCATCTAATGTTATAATATAATGTTCTTAATGTACCTGGAGATGTCTCAGAGGAATATCCTGGTGTGGTTTTCCCCTCCGGCTTCCATGATTTTTTCTTAGGTGAAGTTGACAGAAACAGTGGTGGCAAAGTAGTTTCCTTGTCAAAGGCTTTCTTTGTTGTTGTGTTGAGAGTTGTCTTTTGACCTGTGCTTGTGGGAGTGCTTATTGGAATGGTGGGGTTTGTGAAAGGCTGAGAGGTGACCATGATCTTCTCTGATGTTTTACTACGGCTTTTGCTGGGCCTTCTTTGTTCCACAGATGTTGCCGCAGTCATGGTCAATGTGGTCACAAGGTCAGAGAAGACTGCTGCATCCTCCTGAGGCACCAGAAGTGAATGTTCAGTGTTAGATGTAGAGGTAGAGACTGTTGGCATGGTGTGCGGTGCCTCTTTAAAAAACTGCTGATCTCCCTCGAAGCTCTTGGTCAGCAGAGCCGAGTGGCGTTTGAGCAGTCTTAGGTTGGGGAGGATTGGTACTGCATCTGTGGTGAGCTGCTGGACGTCAGTTGGTGGCTCCTGTTTGCTGGTGAAAGGGTCAAACACTCTCTTTGATTCTGACTCTCCTCCTCTCTGAGTTTGTACAGTTCCATCTTCTGCAAAGTCCAAACAGATGGAAAATTAGTACTAAACAAACCTAGTCTGGTCTAAGGCAGTGATGTTTCAAACTGGGCTCTACAGAACCCCAAGGGGCCAATGTAAAATATGAAAGATTATATGAAGGAAATTATATGTATTATTATAGTATATGCATACACACACAGGCACACGATTAAATATATATATATATACAGTATATATATATGACAAGTATTTTAACTGCTCTTCAAATGCTTTAAATGTCATTGTACAAAAGTTTTGTAATGCTATTTAAATATATATATTTTTTTTACATATTAAGGCAATGCTTCCCTGAAAAATAATAATTTTGTAGTTTAAGAGTGACACAAGAGGTTCAATATTGCTGTGATCTTCAGTGCTGAAGAACAGCAGCATCTTTCAGGGGAAAGTAAGTGTGAGGCAATTACAGCACGTCTTTCATCTCAAGATTAACACACCTCGCTAGGCAGGAGAGCTCTCAGAAGGGTTCAGAGAGAGAGAGCTGTATAACGACAGCCGCCTCTTCAGGCCTGAATGTCTCAACAAATGTTTGTGATCAGAAACAAACTGTAATCAGAAAGCAGGCCTCATTTGCCACTGAGAGGAAGCGAGTCATTCGAATATGTCATTCAGACACAAAGATTCTTAAAAGCATGTCTGATAAAAAATATAAAAGTCCAGTTTGCTCAAAAACTGTCATTATGAGAATGTCAGACTGTTGTTGATCATTCTCTGACACTTAAATGCGTCATACCATTCAGATTGCATGCACTCCCTCAGATTTATGAGCCAAGTGGATTTGTAAAAAAAATAAATGATGTTTGTCTTTGATAATTTAGTTGCATGATTGTTAAAAAAGGTAAACAAAAAAGAAAAATAATAAATGTACCGTCTGAAGATCATTGAAGGTCATTCTAAATTGAGAAATCTGTCATTTTCTACCCTGTGTCTTTCAAAACTTGAATAACCTTTTTTGTAGAATATAAAAGTTATCAAAATGTCAAATCGTCTTGGTTACGTATGGTAACCCTCGTTCCCTGATGGAGGGAACGGAGACATTTGTCGAGTCTACGACACTAGGGGTTGCTCTTGGGAGCCCAAACTCCTCTGACATCTCTGAGAAAAGGCCAGTGAAATTGGGTGAGCAGAATTTGCATAGCTGGCCACGCCCCGGACATCCGGGTATAAATAGGCCAGTGTGGCATCTGCTCACTCGTTCTGTTCTGAGGGGCGAGAAGCGTCTCAACCCACTCAGAGGAAATTCGGAGTTGTGGCATGAAGGACACAACGTCTCTGTTCCCTCCATCAGGGAACGAGGGTTACCATACGTAACCGAGACGTTCCCTTTATGTCAACCCTATACTAAACGCCACAACTGCCGAGCTGCGTCACGAGTCCATGGGGGTGCAGATGTTGACAAACCAGCGTGTCACAACCAAATGCACCTCTCCTCCTCGTAACCTTCAAACGGCCAAGACTTAAGACCTGCAAGACCTCCAACATCCGGGAGAGCCACCAGAGAGGCAGAGGTCCCCTCAGCCGGAGCCTTTTCCCATAGTAATACTCACCATAATATAACAGCTGAAAAGTCTTGGTAGTGATCGTTGGGACAGTGACTATTCCCCCATGGGGGAAAGGCACTACAGAGATCACATCCTACCCGATGAGGAGGTAACATGTGAGGAACCACCTATGGACTTACAGAGGAAGTACCACATGGGGAAGATTCTGAGGTGGGCTCCACTTAATGGGAGAACTACCAAAACCCAGAACCTATTGACAGATTGAATGTCTGTCTAGGGACTTGACTTTGCCTCAGGGGCAACTCAGTGGAGAATACACACATGGGGCCGCAAGAGGAGCCGCTACATGTGGAGCACTAACCCAATACTCGAGGGAACTTGCCTCGTAATGGGTTCTAATAGCGAGTTCCTCCGCCGAACTTCGCAAAGTAAAGTCCTTATGTGATGGAAGGGTAGTCCAGAGTTCATGAAAGGAACCTGAGCTGGACTGAATAAGCGCATAACCACCCTGGGGGGAGTAGCGCTGGGAGCAAGGCCTACACCCTGCCAGTCTCCTGAGTCAAGAACTGGCATTCAGAATTCTAGAAGAAACTGGTTCCTTTCGTAGATTATAAAATCTTGCTTATGTATTAGGTGTAGCCCAACCTGCAGCTCTACAGATATCTGCTAGAGAGGCCCCGTTTGTCAGGGCTGCTGATGCAGCCATGCCCCTGGTAGGGTGAGCCCTCACTCCCAGTGGGCATGGTAGGCCTCTGGCCTGATAGACTTAAGAGTCTGCCAGCCCGAACTCCAGGCATGATTTGTTAATGGAGAGGGCTGGGAGATCCCCTACCCTCTTGACAGAAGTGAGCGCAGTTGGGAGGGCTGACTTCATAGAGAGGGCACTGAACTCAACTGTTGAAACTGCTGAAGGGACTCAGACGGAACTCTCTGTTAGGCCTGCAAGACCACAGAAAGCTCCCAAGAGGGAATGAGACGTGGCCTCGGAGGGTTCAACCTCCGGGCGCCTCTGAGGAACCGAATAACCAGATCGTGCTTCCCCACCGATCTGCCTCCCACGGTGTTGTGATTAGCTGCAATCGCGGCCACGTACACCTTAAGTGTAGAAGCAGACAGGTGCCTTTCCAGGCCTCCTTGGAGGAAGGAGAGCACAGATCCGATGCCACATCTTGGTAGGGTGAGCCCTCACTCCCAGTGGGCATGGTAGGCCTCTGGCCTGATAGACTTAAGAGTCTGCCAGCCCGAACTCCAGGCATGATTTGTTAATGGAGAGGGCTGGGAGATCCCCTACCCTCTTGACAGAAGTGAGCGCAGTCGGGAGGGCTGACTTCATAGAGAGGGCACTGAACTCAACTGTTGAAACTGCTGAAGGGGCTCAGACGGAACTCTCTGTTAGGCCTGCAAGACCACAGAAAGCTCTCAAGAGGGAATGAGACGTGGCCTCGGAGGGTTCAACCTCCGGGCGCCTCTGAGGAACCGAATAACCAGATCGTGCTTCCCCACCGATCTGCCTCCCACGGTGTTGTGATTAGCTGCAATCGCGGCCACGTACACCTTAAGTGTAGAAGCAGACAGGTGCCTTTCCAGGCCTCCTTGGAGGAAGGAGAGCACAGATCCGATGCCACATCTCCGAGGGTCCTTCCCCTGGGAAGAACATCACTTCACGAAAACGCACCACTTAGCGTCGTACAGCCGCCTCGTTGAGGGGGCTCTGGCCTGAGTAATGGTATTCACTACTGCTGGTGAAAGGTCTCCGAGTTCTTCCTGGTTGCGTCCAGGAACCAAACATGAAGGTTCCAGAGATCCGTCCGTGGATGCCAAATTGTGCCCTTCCCTTGAGAAAGGAGGTCCTTCCTCAGGGGAATTCACCAGGGAGGAAATGATGCCATGAGCACGAGCTCCGAGAACCAGGTCCTGTTGGGCCAATAAGGGGCCACAAGCAGGAGCTGTTCTCTGTCTTCCCTGACCTTGCACAGTGTCTGTGTAATGAGGCTCACTGGGGAAAACACATACTTGAGTAGGCCTCTGGGCCAGCTGTGAGCCAATGCATCCGTGCCGAGGGGAGCCTCGGTCAGGGAGTATCACAACTGCCAATGGGTCGATTCCGACGAGGCAAACAGGTCCACCTGTGCCTGGCTGAACCGACTCCAAATCAGCTGAACTGTTTGGGGGTGAAGCGTCCACTTGCCCCCAAGCGAAACCTGTCTCGAGAGGAGATCCGCTACACGATTGAGGTCACCCGGGATATGAGTGGCATGCAGAGACCTGAGTCTGTGCTGGCTCCAAAGTAAGAGATGGCAGGCGAGTTGTGACATGCAGTGGGAGCGAACACCACCCTGGTGGCTGATGTATGCAAATGTCGCTGTGTTGTCCATCCGGATCAACACGTGCTTGCCTTGGATCAAGGGTCGAAACCTCCTCAAGGCCAACAACTCCAGGCAACTGATATGCCAATGCAGCTGAGGCCCTGTCCAGACCCCTGATGCTGCCTGCCTGTTGCACACGGCGCTCCAGCCTGTCTTGGAAGCATCTGTTGTAACAGCAATGCATCTGGACACCTGTTCTAAGAGCACTCCTGCCCGTAGAAAAGAGATGTCCTCCCAGGGACTGAAGGTATGGTGACATACCGGTGGGATGTTCACACAGTGTGAGCCGTGACACCATGCCCATCTCGGGACTCGGGTACGAAGCCAGTGCTGAAGCGGTCTCATATGCATCAGTCCCAGCGGCGTGACCGCGGCTGAGGACTCCATATGCTCCAGGAGCCTTTGAAAGTTTTTAAGATGGACCGCTGTTCTCTGCTTAAGAGCCCTCAAGCATTTCAGCATCGACTGAGCACGCTCCTGAGAGAGGCGTGCAGTCATCGTAACCAAGTCAAATTCTACACCGAGAAAAGAGAAATTCTGCGCAGGGGCGAGTTTGCTTTTTTTCCTGTTGACCTGAAGTCCCAATCGGGCTAGGTGGTCAAGGATCATGTCCCTGTGTGCACAAACCAATTCTCATGAGTGAGCTAGGATCAGCCAGTTGTCGAGGTAATTGAGAATGCGAATGCCCACTTCCCTAAGATGTGCAAGGGCAGCCTCCGCAATCTTCGTAAAGACGTGAGGAGACAGGGACAGCCTGAAGGGAAGAACTTTGTACTGATATGCCCATCTTTCAAAGGCAAACATGTTCATATGTGTTTGAAGGTTCACATTCTGAACAGCAGCTTGTGAAGGGCCCGGTTAAGAGACCTCAAATATAGGATTGGTCTGAGTCCTCCGCCCTTCTTGGGTACAATGAAGTACAGGCTGTAAAACCCCTTCTTCATTTCGGCCAGGGGGACAGGTTTGATTGCACCCTTCTCGAGAAGGGTTGCAACCTCTGCCTGAAGAACAGTCGCATTCTCGCCTCGTACTGAGGTAAACAGAATGCCCCTGAACTTGGGCGGTGCAGGAGCAGGACCTGACTTGCGCCGAGGCAGGATGTGTTTG